ATATATAATCACTCTAAAAAACACTTTATATGTGAAAGATAGGCAAGGCAGCAATCTCATATGCAACTGACTTCATTTGTTAAATGAAAAGTATATAAAATAATATGACTTATATAAGTTAAGTCTTCTGTTTTATTTGTGCAAAGCTTGTCAGTTTTCCTGATGTATTCAATATTTTAAAACCCATTTATATATGTTTTTAGATGATTGCACATTCTTCATTTTGTACATTACATATGATCTTTTTGCAATCATACAAGTATTATATTTAGTATATAAAATAACAGTGTATTTTTAACTACTTATCTCTACTAGTTCCAAATATAACATATAAAAGGATTGTGGCAATAATTAGAAATATAATTTGTATTAGCTAATTTTTAAAAAGGTTTTAATAGAGTAGATAACATTTATGAATTATTTATCGTCATGTGTGTGTGCCTGTTGACATGAAGTATTTTTCCCCCCTCCATTCGTAAGCACAGCCATTATTTAACAATGCATCCAAAGAAATAAATTAAACTTCATAAATGTTGAAGCATTTGCAGTATTAGATCTTGGAAGTTGAGAAACAGAATGTTCCAAAACCTCTTGTATGATTTATAATATTTTGTTTAGCTTACTAAATTTTATGCATCTATAAATGAACAGAATTACTTCCTTATAATGTAACAAATTATTTAAAGTATTTGAACCATTTTTTTGTTTTGGAAAAATTCAATTTAAATGATAATCCTTTTTTATTGTGCATGTACAGGGTCTGTTTAACAATTGTGTATCCACAATTGTTTTCTATTTGACACTTATTTTGAAACATTCTGTATGAGTGAAATTAACATTTTTCCAATAAAATTTGATGTCTTTTTTTTTCTTTCTTCTATATTCTTCGTGTTTTATTTGAATTTTATTTGTATTATTCTTCCTTTAGCTAAACCACATAATTTTCAAACAACAATGCACGACGTAGAAGTTCACCAGTTCTACAGGCCCTGAGCTTGACTGTCAGCTGGCCCTAGTGAAGAACTTTAGTGATTTCAAAATCCAAGGACCAGTGAGGTCTTCATCATCGACATGATGTTCTATTATACTGAGAGGTTCAATGTCCTGTGTATGTGAGAGACATAATTTTGTTGTTCATCGAGAATGAAGAAAACTGTATTGTTTTTATGGAATGAAATTGTGGGTTGTATTTTCCTAGAGTATCTAATTATTCATTTTATACTGTGCCTCTAAATAAATAACAGAAATTTGATTGTGACTAAACATGAAGTTTTGTTTTAAAGATGAATTTTAAATTCTCACTTTTGACAAAGAGATACACCCAAGATAAGGTACTTGAAATGTGTTCAGACTATTGTTAGTATTAAAGTGAATATGAAAACAGTACAGTATTCAGCAAAATGTGTACTCCAGCTATGGTTCCCTTATTGCATTAATGATATATTTGAATAACTATTATAGTAAAAAATGAGAAGGAATACATTAGATTACGACAACAACAAACATTATGTGATTCCTTCAAAATATTCTGTGTAAAGCAGCTGAATGTGTTGGAAGACCTTTTTGTGAATGAAATGTATTTGCAGGAAGACAAGATCTCTGTAAGAGTATATTAATTTATAAAATAATAATGTTTACCAAGAAGACAAACTCTTCATATAATGTTTATTTAAGTAGTAGAGTTCTATTTTAGTTGGCATCCTTTACTGTTATAATAAATTAAGAGTTCATACATGTGTTTATTACCAACATTGTGTAAAGTAAGGAGATGAAATTCCCTTAATGGTTCCTAGGCATAACCTACATCCTATCTATTGTGAATTCTGTGCTATATTTCTTTGAATCAAAGGTGTGTTTTGTTGGATCTTGGATGTGAGAAAATGTGTTTATAACATTTAAAATTCATTTGTTCTTTCTTTTCATTCAAATTGCTCTACATCAAAATTTAATCTCAATAGTATAGATTTCGGACTGAAAAATATTAGAAGCATAGGACTATAATAGGCAAGGATAGTGAAGTGTGGCAACACTACCTCTATGTGGAGGCCCAACTCAAACACTAAGAAGAATGGTATAACACACAACGCAATTTTCTTTTTTCATTAAAATGTTTAAATTTTCTAAAATAACATAAATATATATAAATTTGTTTTTGAATATCCCACTCCCCCACACCCTTTGGAGAAGATCTTTTCAAGAAATTCAAGATACAACATACAGCTGTACATTTGTGCAATTGAGAGGACTATGCATGTGTTTTGATTTTGGAATAACTTCACCATTCATACATTTTATATTAAATAACCTTTTTAGAATAAATAGGATTTTGTGTATATTTGTTCTTTTAAGAGTATCTGCTAATGACAGGTTCATTGTGTTATGTTGTGTACTATTGTGCTGCGAGATTCTTTTCTATATTTAAATGCAATATGCTTTATTGATGTGGTCTGTGAATTGCTTCTTGGCTTATTATTATCCTTATTCTTAAGAAAAAATATTAAAAGTATGTGAACAATTCAAGATTTGCAGCTTTTCCAATGGGATCAGAAATATATATATATTTATTTGAAAATATGACTATCTTAATAATCACGTATGTAGTCTTCCTCCTTTTGAATCCTATTTTTATCAGTATTTAAATAAAATATAAATTTTTTCTTTTGAACTGCAAAAATGCAATGAAAGCAATTTTACGAAGCCCAGAGTGAGATAGAAACTTTCCACTTACTTTGACCAAGTCTTTCTTGCAAGTATATTCTTTGTTGTTTAGAGGCTGCAGGAGAGGGCACGAGGATGAAGGAGACTGATTCTTTCCCCTTTCCCTGCTTTTGCATGATGGCCAATGGTTTATAGGAATTATGCAATTGTGCTTTGCGAGTTAACCATCTTAAATTTTGAAATGGTATATGAGTATTAGAAAATAAACTAGACAGATGTAAATGAGCAAGGGAGATGTGACCAATATGTGAATCATGAAGAAATTTAATGACCAAATGTTTATTGATTCTACATGTATCTTATGATAGATGTTTTAATTCTAAAACATCTTGAGATAAAATTGTTTCAAATGGAATTATATTCCAATTCTTGAGTTTTGTTCATAAAAAAAGAGCTAAGAAGTTCTTATGTTATTTTGGTAACTTAATTTACATTAATTGATGCTGACAGCAAATTTCTTTCATAATCTATAATGACACTTTGTAATTTTATTTCAATGTGCAATGAACAACACACTCAGCTAGTTTTACAGGAATTACTCATGAAAATATTCCTAAAAAGTATCTTTTAATAAATTCATTATACCAAGACATGAATTGAATTATTATGTCTAATAATTGATTTCAGTATAATGCAATGAATGTTGTATTTCAAAAATTTGGGAACCTGTGCACAATAGTATAGTGAACTGCTACATCTTCTGTGTCTGTCTTTATCTGTAACTTTTAAGTATCTTTCTGTTTTGCACGTATTTGCTGTATAAATGTAACATTTCTCTGATATTGATGGTTTTCTTTTTGGTTCTATGTTTTTAATACAAGGATCTTTCTGTATAACTTTCCCAGTGTAATTGATCAGTTTCTCTTGTATCCTTTATCAGTTTCTTAAATTCATCTGTCCTTTTCGTTTAAACTTTATTTCCCTCTTTAATTAGTGGGGATCTATATTATTTGTATTTGCTACACTTATATTTAAAAAAAAATTGCATTATTGAATGGCACATTGTGTCATATTTATTGGGGTTTATTATTGGGATAATCATTAAAAATTCTGTAATAAGTTTTCTTTATTTATGAGTAAAGTATTTTTAATTATTAAAAGCATATTTTTGAGTAGCTTTATTTTTTATTGATTATTTCTAATTGTTGTGTTGATGACTTCAATGATGCAATCTATAAAGTTGAGAGTTGAATGTTTGAAGAGATGGATTTTCTTGCAGGTTCTGTTTCATTTGGAAGCAAAGGAATTCACAGTGGAGCATTCGACCCTGCAATCATTGCAACAGTTGATTCAATGGGTAGCTGATCTAGCTCTTGCCTTGCTTGCTCGCTTGCCTGAACAGAGAGGCAATTCAACTCCTGCCACTAAGCCATCTGGTGGTTGCTCTCCAGCAAGCCCTGGGGTATGTTTAAAACCTCTTTTTAATGGTAGGCCTCTCTAGGCATGAATGTAATCATTTGTTTTGGATGAAGTTGAACAATGTGATGTTAATAATCTTTAAATTATAATGCATGTGTTTTGTAAATTGACACAACAAAGGCATTTTAAATTATGTTTGAGGATTGAACGTCATGTGTATATTACTAATTCAATTTTTAACATCCATCAATTCTGTTCACCATTATTTCATACAATAGGGGTTGAATTCCACCAAGGCTGTACTAGGGTGGAACAGACAGGGATTTGTTAGAGAATATGTTATTCATTGAAAAAAGTTATGGAAAAATTAGAGCATTTTTTGTTCTGAGAAAAGAACTTTTGAAACAGTATCAAAAGTATCTTACTCTTGAAAAGTACATTTTGCACTATTGTTGTAAAAATTGCATATGTAAACACACATTTAAGGGACTGTCATGGGAAGTGCCAGCGCAGACTATCATGTGTTCCACACAGTGTAAACTTGTAGAATTAACTTCAATTATGATGAACTCCACAAGGCTGTAGTATTAACAACTGCATCACCTATCTAGTGAAACAGCATTTGACCACTGTAGTGAAAGACAGTGATATGGTAGATCAGACATTAATTGCGGTAGAGAGCGGACTATTAAAAATATTTATTTTCTTTTTGGAAGTGGGGAATTTAAAGCGAAAGTAAAATGCAAAATGCCAAATGGCTGGCCCTCTTTGACAAAACTGAAAAAGAAAGAAAAATTACTAATAAAAAATAATGCTTTTCATATTGAACAATACATTTGCTGGCTTCAGATTTAGCATATTTGGTACTATTAGAGCCAATGGGCTGGTTACAGATATTGAATAAAAGTGATATAGACAAATCCATCTCTTCAACTATGTTATTAAAAAATTGTTATCTGGCATTCTTCACTTTGGCACGAATTTTAACTCCAAAATATGCAGTTACAATTGGCACAAAGGCACATTATGCAAAGAAGAAAGAAAAACACCAAAACCTTTATATACGCATGGAAAAAGAACCCATGTTTTAAATGAGCATGCCATAAAACAAGTTTAGTAAGTTCGAGAGCTCTTGAGAATTTGTAAAAACATGCATTTACATGGAAATTTTGTCACTATTTATTACTTATATGGTATTATTTAAATAAAAAAATCTATTCTTCATTGTGCTTTATTGTGATACAGAATGTTTGTGTTGTGTAGTATGAACTTCTGAGAGATTATAAGGCCCTGAACACACTACGTGAACTACTTGTGGTGGTACGAATTTGGGGGCTGTTGCGGCAGAGCTGTTTACCAGTGTTTGTACGCAGTGCTGACTCGCTGGACGTGTTAGCTCTGTTGTTCAAGCTATTGAGTCGTCTGGTGCAGGCACCAGAACCTGATGAAGCATTGCTTGGTAAGTTCTCTCATTATCTTAATTTTCTTATTTTCAATTGAATGCTGTGAAACATAAGAGCTTAGGCTGCCGCGGCCGGAGTCAGTAACTACTTGGCTATCCAGGAGACGCTGCGTCCCAGGCACAGGTGCCAACATTTTGGTCGCTATTCTGCGACCTTCCACAGGGCGAAATGCCAGGGCATTTTGCCCTGAGGAAGGTCACAGAAGGCGGACAGATGTGGAATCTTACAGACAGCCAAGTGGTTACTGTGTAACATAGCTACCTGTTCATGGTAGTTGCCTGTTCATGTGCTTCATCAAGTTGGGCAATACTAGTGGAACTGACCAGTTTTCTTGACCTCAAAGCAACATTGTTTCATTAGTACATCATCTGTAGTGAAATTAAATTTTTCAGGAATACGAAATATGCTGTTAAAGTAAGGACGTATTTTGTCAATTTACATTAATATTTACAAATTTTATTTGAACTTGAAACTGAATTGTGACAAATTCAATATCGATTTTTTTTTCTGTGTAAAAATTACTTTCAAATACTCCTCTTTCAAATACTCCTTTCAAATACTCTATGCACTATTATTGCTCCGATCTTTATTGCATGTGTTTCTGCTTGGAATCTAGTTGGGAATTATTTATCTCTCTCTTTCTTGAGCTAACACGATAGTAGATAATTTGGCTTTTTAAAGAGCAAGTATAATGAAAGACATCAAAATAAATTGCGCAAGTTTTGTTGGAAGAAGTTAGCATGCAATATCTTCATGATGTCACAAATTAGATTCCCTTGTATTTAGTTGTACTTCAGTTTCCTCAGAACAGTCTGGATTAAGCATGGAGTGGCTGCTCCAGAGCTTCTGCAAATAAAATCTTAAATCTCCCCTCCCTTCGTCATAAAGACAGGATAGCAGAGAGAAAGGAAGGGGATTGTAATGAAATAGGTGGTTTAATGCTGCGTATTCTGCCTTGTTCACATGAAACAGGCTTTGTAAAACTGCAGCAAACAAAAAGAGACTAAACGCTGAATAGATCACTTGATCATTTCTGAGATATTTGCTACCTCTCCCTCATCACCCTCGAGTGCATCCTACTTACTCAAATTTGATTGCTGTGATGGAGTTTATGGGGCAAGTAGAAGCATAACAACCATTGGTGCTTCAAATGTTGATTCTGACAGAATTAAATGAGCTCTAAACGAATAGGAAGCTCATTGCAAGATTTTGGAATATGCAAATTTGCTATTAAAATTGTACAAAGGGTGTAAATTTAATGTAATTTACCATTTTCATCACACCACGCCCAATAAACAAAGATAAATGTCCAAAGAACTCTAGAAATGAACAAAGTTGGTCCATAAACGATAACTATAGAGGAGTGAATGATCCAACAACAGTGGCTAGTCTCTTCGTCGAAAAGCTTTCAAAACTTGCTGCTGATCTCAATATGGGCCTTCTGCCACAAAATTCAACATCAGACATTTCCTCAAAAAAAAATATAAACCTGATGTTTATTTCCGAAATTTATTCTCATAAAATTCTCAAAATAATCAGAAAACTATAAAATAAATATTTGGCCTGTTTAGATAAATTTCTAGATTGTTCAAGATTTGTGCAGCTGTCACTATACCCTCATTAACTTGTGAATTTAATTCATTCGCTGGAACTTAACTAGATATTTTCAAAACAACATCATTTTGAAACTCCATTTTGAAAAAGGCAACAGAAACAAAATTCAAAACTATCTACCAATTTCTTAGTTGTCAGTTTTTCAAAAACATTAGAGGGACTTTTTTTCGTCAAATGAAGAAAACACAGAGTTTTCAGATTGCCAATATGGATTTAGAAAATCAAATTGTACAGAAATAGCCATATTTTCTTTTCTTAAAGATGTCGCTTAATACATGGATCAAAATGGAGCACCTTTTGGAATATTTTTAGATCTTTCAAAGGCTTTTGACATTGATCATATCATTTTACTTTCAAAATTACCTTCATACGGAATATTTGGTATTGCTCTGTATTGGTTATGTTTGTACCTTAAAGCAATGATCTCAGAGAGTAGAAATACCTTACTGGAGTGTTGGCTCATTACATACATACACCCCTTTCCGATTAATTGCCAATTGCACATGAAGTCCCACAGGGATTGGTTTTAGGCCCTTTTCTCTTCCTACCTTGTGTAAATGATGCCTTCAATGACTCAAAACGGAAGAATAGTTCTCTCTGCTGATGATACAAATATTCTTTGCAATAAAGAAACTGTAAATAGTACAATATCAGACGTTTCAAATTGGATAATGAATTAGTTGTAAACCAAAAGAATTTGGTTCCAATGCAGTTTTCCATTTAAATAAACAATTCTGTACTTCATTGAAAATGAATTATGTGCTATTGACTGATGTTCAGGTAACAACATTTTTACTTTTCAGGTGTCTCAATTCAGTCAAATCTTAAATTGAATGTTCATTTAAATGAATTGAACAGAAAATTGAGTTTGTTATGCTTCGCATTCAAAATTCTTTCAAATTCAGCCAGCCTTTCTACTGTTCTTTGTGTTTATTTTGCAAGTGTTCATTCCTGCCTGAGATATGGCATGATGTTCTGGGAAAATACATCGTATAGCTCCCAGACTTTTAGATTACCAAAAAGAATTGTACAAATAATAAGCAAATTCCATCCACATGACTCTTGTAAGACTCTTTATTAATCTAGGAATTTTACCATAACCTTGTCTCATGATTTACAAATCAGTGGTTTTTGTAAAAACGTCTTTCTTAAGGGTGGGAATATATTTTTAGCAAATGCTGATGTCTATAACTATAACACTTGACATAGTAATTATATTCACCAGGTGACAGTATCAACAGCTCACTACAAAAATTTCACATAGATGTACATTATTTTACTATATATTGCCAGATCACATTACATATTGAAATTGATACACAAGTAAAATCTTTTCTGCTGCATAACTATTTCTATAAAATTAAAGACTGTATCAAGCAAAAAAAAACAAAAAAAAAACAACGTAATATCAATTTCAACAATGATATTTAATGTATTTATTACCATTTAGACTGTATAATTCTAAACATCCTGTAACAATTATTATATCTGAGCTTCTGGGAAAATGACCCCCCATCTTGATCAGGTTTTTTGTTTAATTTCTCTCATCCTTTGAGTGAATGGCCCCTGGCTTTGCTTGTGGACATAAATGTAACTTCACTTTGTGGGCATCTTTTAGAGTTCATTGAGAAATATAGTTATTCAAATTATCATTCTCCATGTTGTCTTGGCAGGAAGTATATTCCTTCATAGATATGATAAGGGATAAGTGTCCTAATCTATAGCTGATTTGCTCTTGACAATAGATTTTATTACACCAGAGTGAATATTTTTTTTATAAATTCTTGCCAAAAACGCTCTTCCTGTATTCAGAATTCAACTAGCATATTACTTAGGGCAGGGATCACAGAATAAAGAATATGTGAATAGAATACATTTCTCTCCATAGCACATCTCACACCATTTTTAACTGTTTCTCACTTAAACTAAATAAATAAATGAGTAAACGAAGGCTATTGTGGACCAAAAATGACATTTGAAAAGGGCTTTAGAAACCGTTCCTCAAGTAACTGCTTTTTGTGGAAAACCGAATGATACCAGCTACTATAAAATACATGATACGTTTGATGCTGTTATCCAGAAAAAATTGTTTTCTTGAAGTGATGTGTTAATATTCTCATTTGTGCTCATTTGAACTCGAGTAAAACTTGTAACACAAGGTGTAGCATTATGTGCATTGAAGTAACAATGTTTATACTCTTGTCTACCCTCGGTAAAGGATAAATTATTTAGAAAGATCAAGCTTGTGATACAGAAAATGTAACATTCATATGTATCATCAGAAATAATTGATTTCATTGCTTAATTACAAATATGTGGATAATTTTAAAAAATCTAAACTTTTCCATGTTTTTCATGAAAACAAAAATGGAAATAATCCTAGATTACTTTATTATAATATTAATACACAAAATTTACTTGAAAAGTGTTAATTGCATGCAATTTTTTTCTTATCTAATGGTATTATTTGGCATCACTTTCTGAGAAGAAAATAAAAAATATATTTTTCACATCCCCAATCAAAATTTGTAAATGAATAATGGAATGAAATGTATTATATTGACCCGTCATATGAATAGTGCTCCGGGACCCATGCATGGGTTAATCTGGCCCTGCCTCAGAATGATACTTCTTTGATAGAATAGAAGCAATACATGGTTTAGATAGTTTCCACATTTTGTTTTCACAGAATTCAAATTGATTAAACAATTCGATTTACAAAGGTTATTGCATACAAGTGCATATAAAAGAAAGAAGTGAAAAATGGAGTGTTGGGTACATGTGAAAATGTGTATCGTTGGTTTTTCCAGGTGTGAACAAAAGTGAAATGCAATGGTAAGAGAAGAATTCAAACACAATATTGAAGTACATGAAAAACATTGTTGTCATTTTTGATAAAATGAAAGACGTCATCAGTTACAAAATTTGAAATCATTATTCAACTGACAAAATGTTTTTCTTCTCTGATTCAAATGAACAGGAAGACTTTATCTTGAGAGAGATTGTGGTTTGTGGTTTGTGAAGTTGTTGGTTTACAGTGATACTTACATATGTTCTATCGTAACTGAGAAATGAGAAAGAAACAAAGTGTGTTTAAAATCAAATGACGATTAAAATTATTTCATTTCATGTTCATATTTGATTATTATCATATTTAATATCTTATTATTGTTTATTATAAAATTATGCTTTGTTATTTTTGGATGAAATAATAAGAACAGTGAATTACTTTTGATGTTGATTTTTCAAACCTTTTCCTACAAAATAATTAGGTGTAAAATGTGCATTCATTATTAACTTCTTTTGCGGGCAATTTTGGGGTTTGGCTTCTTTCTAACAACCTCCATATCTTTTCCTGTAAACTTTTCTGTGTGCAAGTTGA